TCTAGAAGATACAGAATTTTATCTCGTGGAGATAATAAAAAAAATCATATATCTCAGTTGATATTATATTTTTTGTCTGTTATCGCATTTGAATATATATATCTCTATGCGTGGATACATATTTATTTTTATTTCTGGCGAATAAAAATATGTAATATATTAACAACAGAATATAAAATGAAAAATACTTGAAGGTGAAAACACAAATACATTCTACATTTTTAGATATTATTGAATTGATAAGAGTAATTATTTTTTAATTTTTTATCTCTTACAGCATATAAGACAGTATCCGGTGTAAACGGTCCATTGGTAATATTGGATGAGGTGAAGTTTCCAAAATATGCTGAAATTGTACAACTGAAACTCGCTGATGGCTCCCTACGCTCTGGTCAAGTATTGGAGGTCTCAGGTTCCAAGGCTGTGGTTCAGGTCTTCGAAGGCACATCGGGCATTGATGCAAAAAACACTCACTGCGAGTTCACCGGTGACATCCTGCGGACTCCAGTGTCCGAGGATATGCTGGGTCGTGTGTTCAACGGCTCAGGAAAGCCGATAGACAAGGGGCCGCCAATCCTGGCGGAAGATTACTTGGATATCCAGGGCCAGCCTATTAATCCTTGGTCTCGTATCTATCCGGAGGAAATGATACAAACTGGAATATCGGCCATTGATGTTATGAACTCCATTGCCCGTGGTCAGAAGATTCCCATCTTCTCTGCTGCTGGTTTGCCGCATAATGAGGTATTTTTTTACTAAATTATTTATAATTAATGATTGACTTATATAGTTTCTAAAATTTTTTGTTACTATATATAATTTTTATCAATATTTTATTCTTTGATTTTTACTTTAACAGATCGCCGCGCAAATCTGTCGTCAAGCGGGTCTTGTGAAGGTGCCCGGCAAGTCCGTTCTCGACTCGCACGAGGACAACTTTGCCATCGTGTTTGCCGCTATGGGTGTCAATATGGAAACCGCTCGTTTCTTCAAGCAAGACTTCGAGGAGAACGGTTCCATGGAGAACGTGTGCCTATTCTTGAATCTGGCCAACGATCCGACGATCGAGAGAATCATTACACCGCGTCTCGCTCTGACAGCAGCTGAGTTTCTGGCATATCAATGCGAGAAGCACGTACTAGTCATTCTCACCGATATGTCCTCGTATGCCGAGGCGTTGCGTGAAGTATCGGCCGCCCGTGAAGAGGTGCCGGGTAGACGTGGTTTCCCCGGTTACATGTACACCGATTTGGCCACAATCTACGAACGTGCCGGCCGTGTAGAGGGCCGCAACGGCTCTATCACGCAGATCCCAATTCTTACTATGCCGAACGACGATATCACTCACCCGATTCCCGATCTTACTGGATACATCACCGAGGGTCAGATCTACGTCGATCGTCAGCTACACAACAGGCAGATCTATCCACCAGTGAACGTGCTACCGTCTCTGTCGCGTCTCATGAAGTCCGCCATCGGCGAGGGTATGACGCGAAAGGATCACTCCGATGTGTCCAATCAGCTGGTGAGTTGTCGTGTATTAAAGATAAAAAAATTACAAATTTGTTTCAATCTCTGAAATAAAATTATCACATTTTTTCCTAAATTTTTTAACATGTTTTTATATTTTATAATTATATAAATATTTCTTTTAGTACGCGTGTTACGCCATCGGAAAGGACGTCCAGGCGATGAAAGCTGTCGTAGGAGAGGAGGCGTTAACACCGGATGATCTGTTGTACTTGGAATTCTTGTCGAAATTCGAGAAGAACTTCATCTCACAGGGTAGCTATGAGAACCGCACGGTCTTTGAGTCGTTAGATATCGGCTGGCAGCTTCTGCGAATCTTCCCGAAGGAGATGCTCAAGCGAATCCCGGCGAGCACTCTCGCGGAATTCTACCCGAGAGATTCCCGTCATTAATTATATGTGCAAGCTTGTTCCAATGAAACAGCGGAAATTACGCGTACAAAATCGACCTATCTTTTCATCGACGTTAATTAAAATAAAACACACGTCTATTTTCGCGTGTTTACAGCAGAAAACGGTAATGTGACAAGAGAAAGTTAAAGAGAATAATTAAAACGGCGTGTACGCTTTCGTAAGAAAAAGAAAATATGAAACAATATAATATAACTTGTTATATGCTATAAATATTAACGTTATTATAGGCTTACAGAATCGTACACGGTTTTTCTTTTGATGTTGTGCAATGAGAGTGTAAAGTA